ACAATATCAATTAATTCTTTGTCTTTTACATATTGCTTTGTAGTACGAATTTTCTTGCGCAAATGTTGATTTCTTTTGGAGAGGGTTGACAAAATAAAAAGGAATGAAGTGGAAGGTAAGATATGTTATTTCAAGAGAGAACCTGAATACTGACGTTTGTAGAGACTATCCAGCCAGCTCCAATGTGACACAACTCAGGGCAATGATAATGAATTTTCCAATTTATCATATTTTTTTTGTTAACGAAAAGAACATGTACGTATGCAATTATAGTACATTGTCAGTATTTCAAGTTTCCTCCTTCGGTCCCCTACTCGCTCCTTCTTCGGCCTTTTCACGTAGCCTTCGGAAGCGCCTGAAAGCCCCGTCTCAACTGCGCTCAGCTGTCCAGGCCAACCTTGCTTCTATCTTAACACACTTCATGATTCATGATACAGTTTGCTCGAAATGCACTTATTTCCCTTTCGCATACATCACTGAATTTATCGGCGGATGCATCTGGAAGACATGTGTAAGACCCATTTCAGGATTGTAAGACTCTCTTACTTTGCACGTCGAGAAAGAGAGAGAGAGAGAGGTTTAAAGGTTTAATTTGATTCCATTTGTTACAATGGGTATTCTTGGTGTGACATAGTGTCTGTTTCATTTTATTGCAAAGTTATCCCTGTGTGCAAGGAATGGCCGGGGTTACCATCCACTGGTGGCGAGGGATTTGAACGCAGGTCAGCAAGATTGCTAGGCGAGATCGCTACCGCTGCACCACACAACACACAACAGAGAGATAGATAGATAGATAGAGAGAGAGAGAAGAGAGAAAGAGAGAGGGAGAGAGAGGGAGAGAGAGGGAGAGAGAGAGAGGGAGAGAGGGAGAGAGAGGAGAGAGGGAGAGAGGGGGGGGAGGGGAGGGAGAGGGAGAGAGAGAGAGAGAGAGAGAGAGAGAGAGAGAGAGAGAGAGAGAGAGAGAGAGAGAGGAGAGAGAGAGAGAGAGAGAGAGAGAGAGAGAGAGAGAGAGGGAGGAGAGGAGGGAGGGAGGGAGGGAGAGAGAGAGAGAGAGAGAGAGAGAGAGAGAGAGAGAGAGAGAGAGAGAGAGAGAGAGAGAGAGAGAGAGAGAGAGAGAGAGAGAGAGAGAGAGAGAGAGAGAGAGAGAGAGAGAGAGAGAGAGAGAGAGAGAGAGAGAGAGAGAGAGAGAGAGAGAGAGAGAGAGAGAGAGAGAGAGAGAGAGAGAGAGAGAGAGAGAAGGGGGGATGAGAGAGAGAGAGAGAGAGAGAGAGAGAGAGAGAGAGAGAGAGAGAGAGAGAGAGAGAGAGAGAGAGAGAGAGAGAGAGAGAGAGAGAGAGAGAGAGAGACGCAGAAAGAGAGCGCAACTAACATTAGCAACAATTAGGCAAATCTTCGCCCGCCAAACGCCCGCCATTAATTCCGGCTCTTCTGTCCACACAGACTCCCCGGCCGGCGCTTTCCATGACTCTGCTCATGAATTTTCAAATGGCATTGTGAAAGTACTATCGTTAAGCTACAAAGATATGCCCGGCAGATATTTGCATGAATTACACAAACCCTCTTGTACTTTCGTATTTTTCGATACGGACACAAACTCACAATTATGTATACAGTCGTGACAAAGACAAAGACACTTAAATATGATTAAGATAATGATAATTATAATAACAATGGCACTAGTAGCAAGAACAGACAACAGCGATGACAATTGCAGATGGAGCAATAACAAGAGCAACACTCGCTCAAACTTCTGCTTCGCTCGGCCGAGCCGGACTTCAGCAGGGACGAACCAACGGAGGTCACCGCGCGCAGCTTTTCGGGCGGGCTTTCCGACCTCAGAGCCCGGCGTGGCGACCCCTTCCCTCGACCCACGTGCGCGCCCTGCCAGCCGGTTGCTGGCTGCCCATCCTCCCCTGCCACCTCAGACGCAGCCACACCAACGAAACCACCTGTGCCAACCACCGGCGGCCACTCCTTCCGCGCCATCTCTAAGCGGCCACCTGTTACTGCCGCCAGCTGCTGCCCAAGGGCCGCCCAATGCCACCCCGCCCCCCGCCGCCCACTCTTGCCGCCGTGCACTGCTGACGGCGCCATTCCTGGCTCTTAAAATGGCCCGGCAAAGTCAACAGAAAAGTCTTGTGCGCTTTTATCAATTGAAGTTCGCTTTTACAGAAACTTTGAGAAAGTTATTTCCTAAAAAAGTCGTGAAAAAGACTTTTTGAAGAATGAGACAAAGGGAATACTTCAATATTTACAACGATTTCCGGAAAAAACTAAAACAAGAAGAAAGGCATGGGGGAGAAGCGGGGGAAAACAGGGAACGCCGAAACGATAAGAGGCGATAAGACGCGGTAGAGAAGCAAGAGAATCAGAGAGGGAAGGGACCCCGGGAGGGAGATCAAGCGTCAGGAAGAAACAAGGGCAAAGCAAGGCCCTTCAGGTCCGCCACCGCCCTTCTGGAGCTCTGCTAGAGGCCAGAACAAACATTAAATTCATGGTG